TTTTTTTTTGGAAATGTCGTTTTGGCCAAGCTTCTGTTACGTACACTGCCGATTCAAGCGGCACGTCTTCGAAAGTTGAATTCCTACTGAATCTTTAAAACCAGGCGCGATCAGTAAGTTTGGAGTTAAAATCGTGATTAGCTAAACCCAAATTGGTGGAGCGCAGAGCCTAGGATACCAAGGTATGGGCAGAGGGCTTTCTCGATCTAGATTCCAAGGCGAGATGAAAGACAGACCAATCAGTCATACAAGTGATGGTTAAGAATGGACAGCTTCCTTCGTTCCTACCTCATCTTCATCGCTCCCCCTCCTTTTTTTTTTTTTTTTTTTTTAAGGTGCAGGTGCTATTTGGAAAGGCAGGCCAAACAGGAGCCACCGAAAGCTTCTCTTACTCCTCCTGGGCGAGGTAGGCTAAAGTTCATAAGGCCGTTTAGAGGAAGAACCATCATCGTGAAACTGGTGGTCCCTGCGATAAAATCATTTGCTAAAAAAAAAAAAACAGCGAGATCTGCTGAAAAGTAAACAGTTGAAGGTTAGCCTTTTTTTTTTTTTTTTTTTTTTTTTTTTTTTTGCAAATCGGGGGCAACAACTTGGCACGTTCAATAATTAGCTAGCTGGTAGATAACTGAGCTGCTGGATCTGAAGAAAACAGAGCACAATCAGGAGTACACAAAACCTTCTCTTTCGAACTGAGGATCATATAGCTGAAGATTTTAAAGGTGAGCCTAGTCGGGTCTAGGTAATAGGTTTATTTTTTTTTATTTTTTAGAAGACCATAGTTTCAAGGGAAGTTGAAGTGCAAATAATGTGAGCAAGGCAGGTATTATCCTTTACTAGAGTGACGAGAGTAATACTAGTAGAGCAACGGAAGCAGGCGGTTTTCAGAAAGTAAATCTAGCCTCGTCTAATGACTGAATATTAACCAATCGTAGTAACAACAGCCTGGTGAGGTCTAGCCCCAAACTGAGTGTTCTAAAGGAAAGAAAATAACGACAAATTGAAAAGGTGCAAGGTTTAGGCAAATGGTAAACTGATACTCGAATAGTTTTCGGACCATAAAAAGGAGGACCAATCAGAAGCACCGTGAAAGGTCCTTCTGCAATCAGACTCGACTTATTCACACTTTACATGCACGTGAACAGCAGAATAGCAAACTGGCGCCATGCGCCCACACGGAACTCAGAGATATGGCTTCCAAGTAACAGTTCGCTTCCACTGGCTATGGCGACTGTGCGCCTCACACAAACTCACTGTTCACACTCTGGATCACCCTGGATGTCCCACACGCGATACTCAGTATACACACGCAGTACACACACTCTTCCCCTATACTACAGCTATGGCGGCTATGGCCGCCGCTACCCTACTGCTATGGCTACAGTGCGTCACTCTCGCCCACTTCGTCTTCGGGCCTTCTGCAGACCTCCTCGCACAAGCTGCTGAGGCAGCGCTTCCGCATGGCTTCCGCAGGAATGAATGAATGGCTGGACGCAGCCTCTTGATTTCTACTTCTGTGCTGCGTTGGTCTGCCCTGTGTCCCTTGGCCCCTGGTGCACACAATCCCAGACGGTACTTGCTGGACAGGACCGGACTGCCTAACTGGGACTGTTGACACAGCGAGGTGGCCTTCCACCAGTTGACCACTTGCCTCTGTTCAACGCAGGCTCACTCCGAAAGGCCACTTCTAGAACCCTCTAACTTGGCCTTTCGGTACTGTAGCAGCTACGACTTTGCCCCTTCAGGTAAGTAGCAGCTACGACCTTGACCCTTCAGACATCCTACAACTACGATTTCGGAACTGTCTAGACTCCTACCCTACAGGTCTACAGTTCGATTCCCTTCTACCCTGTGACCTACGAAAATCTACCTACCACTGGCGGTCCTACAGGTCGCAGGTTCAAATCTATGGGTTGACACTGGTACTGTACACAGGTAAAACGGGGAACTAGGGATCGAGCCCTGGGATCTACATTCGCTACTGCGAACTGGTGAATACCGTTTCACTCCCGCCGGCCTAAATTCGAGGTCCTCCGAGAAAATTTCAGTCCAAGGCAGGACCTTTACCTCGCTGTTGTCTCTCGTAGGCCCGGACTATATCGGGAGCTGTCTTTAGAAGTTCAGATCTTGTTAACCAGCGGTCGTCTTCCGGTTCTTGGTAACTAAAATGAACCTTATACTGTTTCTGCGGACGACCCCTACCTCCAGTTCTGAAGACATCCTCAGCCACTATACCATCGATGTCATATCTCCCATCCATATCCGGTGGGATCATTGATCTACGGGATGGAAACGGATCACTTGTCTGACAAGCATATAACTTCGATGTGTGGAAAACTGGGTAAGTGTGGAGGTGTGCTGGAAGTTCTATGGTATATGACTGTCCATCTTCGCCGCCCTTGACTTCTAGAACGGGCCACGGTCCTCTATATGTGGGCAGTAACTTCTGCGAGATGTTCTCCTCAGGTGTAAACTCCTAGAACTGACCCAGACTAAGTCGCCTACTTGAAACGGTGAGGGGCGACGATGTTTGTTCGCTTGCTCTATCATCCTATGCTGGGCTTTCCTATGGTTCTCTACAATAGTAGCCAGTTCTTTCTCGTGCTGTACAACAAACTCCCTGGTCCCGGGCGGTAATCTGTGAATCTGATCCCGGTTGAGTCCTTCAAACGGTCTGCGCGGTCTAAAGGACTTGTGCAGTTCGTTGGGAGTGCGGCAGGTGGATAAATGCACGCTGTTATTATACGCACTAGCTACTTTAGGCAACATCTCGTCCCAGTTAATTTGATCTGGCCTAATGTACATACGCAGAACTTGCTGGAGGATCTTGTTCATTTGCTCTGTCTGACCGTTAGTCTCTGGATGACGACCGGACGGCATCAACAACTTAGATCCATATACTCCAATGAGTTCTTGCCCGTTCTGGCTAGTAAAGCGACTATCTCTATCGCTAACTATAGACAGTGGGATTCCATTCTCACTCACCCAACAGTCAAAAAATCTCAGTATGACTAAATCAGTACGTGCCTTTGAAGGCAAAGGAACAAAAACTGCGTACTTACTAAAACGGTCAACTATGACCATGACTTGGCTCTTGCCATGCCTACTCTTGACTTGAGTGTCCATGAAATCTATGGACACTGAGTGTCCAGGCTGATCCGGAATGGGCAAGGGTCTGAGAAGACCTAGCGGGGCGCGCGTAGAACTCTTGTTGCGCTGACAAACCTTACAACTGCGAACATACTCCACACAGTCATTCTTCATCCCTGACCAGGTATATGCGCGCATTAGATTGGCTAAAGTCTTTTGCCAACCGAAATGACCCTCTGTGTCGTGGCATTCCCCCAAAATCAAACTACGGATCTCTTCGCTATTGGGGATGCACAGTCGGTCAAAAACATTAGTCTTCTAAAAAAGCAACCCCTCAGTAGTGCGGTAGTTCGGTTCAGTCTCTGGGGCCTCCTTGACCTTCTTGAGGAGGTCACTGTAGATAGGGTCCTGCGCGTAGGCTTCTCTAACCTTCTGCTGCAGATCCTTCCCTATATCGAGGTAATGTACTATTGCCCCAAAGTAATCAGCTCTTTTACTCAGAGCATCCGCGACTGCGTTGTACTTCCCTTTGACAGGCTTGAGCTCGAAGTCGTACTGATCTATCTCTGCGGCCCACCTAGTAAGCTTAGGTGTCATCTTGGCCTGCGTCTTTAACCATCGTAACGTTTCATGGTCGGAATAGACTTTGAAGTGCCTCCCAAGCAAGTAGTGCTTCCAGTGGTCTAAAGCTTGCCTGAGAGCGTAGAGTTCTCTCTCATAGGTAGATGTCGCGACCTTCTCTGAAGGCATTCTGGCGGACATGAACTCTACGGGTCTATACCCATTACCATCGTCTTGCTGTAACACTGCGCCTATGCCGTATTGACTCGCATCGGTCGTGACGACAAAGGGCAAGGACGGATCGGCGACTTTAAGGACCGGATACTCTATCAATGCCTGCTTTAACTTCTTCATGGCAGACGTGCAGTCCTTATCCCACTTTCAGATGGTCTCTTTCCTCAACAATCTGCGAAGGGGCGTGTTGATGGTAGAGAAGTTCCTCACGAACTTCCGGTAGTAATTAGCTAAGCCCAGGAACGAGCGCAACTCTGTCAGCGTACGTGGCGTGGGCCAATCTCTAATCGCTGCGATCTTGCTATCCTCTGGCTTAACGTCGTCTCTGTCTAAGACGTGGCCTAAGTACAAAACTTGGGTTTTCGCCCAATCGCACTTCATTGCATTGATCTTGAAGTTAGCTTCCCTCAGCTTCTCCAAGACCTGCCTGAGATGACCCTGATGCTCCTTGAGGGTCCTGCTAAACACTAGAATGTCATCTAGGTAAACTACAACAAATCTGTCTAACCACGGCCTAAACAAATTGTTCATACAGCGCTGGAATGTAGCTGGCGCATTGGTTAGTCCAAAGGGCATTACTATGAACTCGTAGTGCCCATATCTAGTCCGGAAGGCTGTCTTATACTGATCATCAGGATGCACTTCTATGTGATGACATCCGGACTTCAAATCTATCTTGGAAAAATACTTCGCCCCCTGCACTCGATCTAAGAGATCGTCTATCCTAGGCAGTGGCTCAGCATTCTTTACTGTAATAGCATTCAGACCCCTATAGTCTATGCACATCCTCAGCTCTCCCTCTTTCTTAGGAACAAAGAGAACAGGCGCTCCAAAAGGAGACGAACTGGGCCTAATCCAACCCTTCTCGAGGAGCTCGTCTAATTGCTTGCGAAGCTCCTCTAACTCCCGTGGTGACATCCTATACACAACGCCCTTAGGAGTTCTACTGCCAGGCTCTATCTCAATGCGGTGCTGGATGGGCTGCGGTATTACTCCTGTCGGCGGCTCAGTCAAGTCCTTGAACTCTTCCAGCAGCTTGGCAATCGCAGGGTCCATCGACTTTTCTTCCGTAGGCTCAGTCATCGGCCTAACATAGGCGACAAAAACCTGTTCCTCCAGTTTCTCCTTTTTCACTAATCTGGCGAATGCAGGCGCACTAAGGCAGCAATGTGCCAAGGGATTCTCTACTCCGGACACATGGAACAGGCGGGCAGTCTTAGCCTCGCCTGAAGAACTAGGGAGCCTACACTCGTGCTCCTTCAAATGGAGCGTGGCCCCGACTGCCTCTCCCCAATCCATTCCTAGAACAATATAAAATGGGAGGCTATCTTCTACGAGAAGAGTCAGGGAGTGGAGGGTCTTTTCCACTTTCCCATCTTTCTCTAGGCGGAAATACGCCTTGACTTCCTCTACGTAATCCTCTACAACCATGGTACGATTGTCTGCGAGGATACTAACTATGGGGTCTGTCAATTTCTGGACTTTAAGTCGCAGCCTCAACTTCTGCAGCGCTTTCTTACTAATATAGCTGCGGGTGGCCCCTGAGTCTACTAGGGCCCCTACTCTACCTCTAAAAATCTTTGTATCTAGTAAGATCAGCTGCCCTTTATTCTCCCTCTTCATCTTGGCCCAGGCGGGCCTCCTCTCCTTCAACTCTTCGGCTACGCTTGTGAGGGAGGTGTCTAGAGAGACCCTAATACAAGCGGTCTCCGGGCAGCTATCTAGACACCGGCCTGCAACCTCTGCCATAGGCACATGTGGTGTGGGAGTCTCCTGCCGGCTAGCGCTATGTTCCCCACATGGCCTAATGGTAGGGGCAGTTGCTACCCCTATCGGCGGTTGCCTTTTGGCCCTTGGGCAGCCGTTCGGGTCTCGCGATACTTAGGACAATATTTAATGATATGGCCCGGGTTACCGCAAAAAATGCACTGGCCCCGGTCCAATCGTTGTTGCCATAAAGTTTGGTCCAGACCCAAAGTTTCCCAAGGCCTACCCTGTGGTAGCCCCGGGTGCCATCCTCCTACCCTATAGGGAGACCTATTCCTAGGACGGTTTTGCGGGGGACCTTGACCCCTGCCTCCCGCTTGGCGGTTTCCTCCTCTACCGCCAGCCCCCTGATCGCCCTGAAACCGGCTCCCTGAGGCCCGGCCCCCTTGGCCCTGGCCTCGTCCTCCTTGCAACCTCCCTCCAGCCGCGACAGCAGCGTAAGTCCTCCCCTGGCCCACACCGCTGTCCTCTTCCTCTAACCCCCACTCGATCTGTTCGTAGGGGATCTCATCTACACTACCCTCATCTAAGGTCAGGACAAGGCTGTCCTGGTCTTTACCTGCCCAGAAATAGTGCGGCCCTTCCATTGCTTTCCCTTATCCAAATCTTTGTGCCAGAAGGTGGAAATTGACATAGACTTGGCCTCAAAGGCCACCACTTCACGACTAAGAGAATTGTACGTAGTGGCAAGGTCTTCGCTTTTTGCGAAGAAATGCCCTCGAAGGGCTTCGGGTATAGCCCGATAGAAGATGCTGACCAACTGGGTGTCCGTAACCCCGTGGACAGGGACAGCCGCAAACTCATCCATTGTACTCTTAAGGGCCCTGACACTTTTCCACTAACGAGAGTGGATCGTCTGCAGCCTATCTGAGGCTTTAACGCTGCGGGCGACATCAACGAATCTCCCACGCAACAACTTAAGGAATTCAGTGAGGGACGTGAACGAGGAGTACACAACGGGATCGTCACTACAGTTGGCAGCGCGAACTAGGGATCTTGCAAAACTGGCGGCCTCATCTCTCAGCGTGTGGATCGCAATTAGAACCTGCTGATCCGGGGAGACCTGTTGCAAGTGCACATAGGTCTTAACGTTGGCTTCCCAGTTGTCAAAGTTCTCTTCCCTTTTCCCACTGTAAGAATCAGGGAATTTGACCTTGACCGGTTCCCGGCGAGGAGGACGTGCTTCCTCCTCCTTGGGGGTTGCCGCCTTGACGCCCTCAATGGCGCCAACGCAAAACCGCTCAGTCTTGTCGAGGCGGTGGCCCACCTCAGTGCCTATAGCGCCTACCAACTCTCGAGCAAAGTCTCGGAATCCCAACTTTATTGAACGCACAACTATGTGTTGACTCCGACTAAAGTCATATTGCTCCGCCTGAATTCGTGCCAGGCGTGCAACATTTCGAGCTATGACTCGCATTTGGGCTGGGAGTTCAGTCTAGGCGGCTAGTTGCTCTTCTATGTTTTTTACCTCCTCTAATTCTTCCGCCGCCTCCGCTGCCGCGTCCACTCTTCTCTTCTTCTCCCTCATCACTGCCAACCTCCATTCCATTCTCTTCTCATCTTCCATTGCCTGCCGCTTTACAACATCTTTTTCTGCTTCCCAAGCTCTCATAGCGGCTTCCTGATCGTCCTTAGGGATATACATCGCCACTTCTTCTTCTTCGCCCAGGGATRAGTTGGYGACCCACTCTGAGATCYGCTTCTCCATCTCCTCATCCCTATTGCCACTGTACTGACCCTTCTTCCTCTGCAGTGGCATTTCATCTTCTTCCTCCTCTTCCACCTCTTTCAACTTCTCTTCCTCTTCTTTCTGTATCCTCTCCTTCTCTCTGACCATCTCTTCTTCTATCTTCTTCAATTTGGCCGCCTGCTCCTCCTTCAAGGCCTTCTTCTTGGCCTCCTTCTTCTCCTTCCTCTCCTGCAAGATGGCGGCCATCTTCTCCTCCTCCTTCGTGTATGGCTTGGTGGAGGCACCACCCCGGGTATCTACTCTACACGTGAAGGTGTGCCAGAACCCCAGAGGAAAGAGGAGACGCCAGAGGGTCCCCCAGAGGGAGAACCCAACGAGCAACCCATACATCGGATAGTCGTCCATCGTGGTGTTAGGTGCACGACAACGTCCCACTCCTCACCACTTAGACCTACCCGAACACACTAACCTACTGTCTGACTCTCTAAGATCCACTACTCACAACTACTCTTAAGGATGTCACTACTGAACTAACAGTTGATCAGGAGGCATTTAAGGAGATCCCCCAAACTCCGCAAGAATTCTTTAACGTCGCAGTCAGGACGACGTGATCAGCGTAGTTCTTCCTGGCGATTTCAGCCCACAACTTAGCCGTTCCGGCCTACTGTGCCACACCGAGCAGCCCGCCGGTCTGTACCGGTCCTTGGAGGGGTTCGTATCCCTCGGGACAGTCGAGTCGTCAGACACAGATCATCAGCCTTACTAGGTCCGGTAGGGGAGTGGTTCAACCAGGCCTCAACACTTAAAGACGGCCTTCGTTTCAGCCTACAGCTCGGAGTTCAGACCCTCTACACTGAACTCAGTAGACCTGCCGGACAGTACCGGTCATTGGTCTAGACGAGTTGTTTAACGAGCGCTCGCCGCTCATGCCCAGGTCTCCAGATGCCAGAGTAGAGCTTAGTCCTACTAAGTCCCGTGCAGGTTTGGCAGCAAGGCCCTATCCTTCATCCACAGAGTCCTAACACCTAGGACAGAAGAGACTCAATGCAGAAAGGAAAGACAGACAGACTCAAACTCAGCAAGTACCGTAGGGTGAGTGCACATCCACAGGGTAAGGGGATAGGCTAAGGGCTCAGCGAGATATCACCAGCTCTAGCTTGGTCAAAATCTTGGTCAGCAGCTCCGGTCAACGCCTTGGTCAACACCGAGTCAACGCGGGCAACCCCCAGTCAACGCTTGGTCAACACCCTCGGTCAATGCCTGGTCAACCCTTGGTCAACCCTCTGGTCAACGCTCTGGTCAACGCCGGGTCAACCCTTCACCTCGGCTATGGCTGCCGGCACCATCACCTTCGTCACCCTCGCCGCTTACTTCCCTTTCCTTCACTCTTCTTCTTCTTCACTTTCTCTGTGTATGTATATATATATATATATATTTTTTGTGTTCACCCCGGGCTATGTCTGTCTTTTTCTCCAAAGTCCTCCTTTCAAACCTCTCTTTCTCTCTCTCCTTAGTCCCTCCTTCTCTGTCCTCCCTGTCTTTCTCCTTCGGTGCCCTGTGATGAAGCTCTGCGGCTATGGTCGCTATCTTCCTCCTCCGTCGGACAGCGCAGCTCGCCTCACAGGTAAGTGACAACCAATCTTGGATCACTCATCTCTCTCTCTCTCTCTCTCTCTCTCTCTCTCTCTCTCTCTCTCGATCTGCTTCTTCGTCGTGGTCCTCTTGATGCAGGTGCGCGGCGGCTTCTTCCACCTCGAGGTCCACTATGGCGGACTACCTTCTCCAGCGGCCACTTCAGCTATGGCGCATCGGCCCTGCACACGACTGCGCGCGCGGAACAGCGGGTACCAGCTCCGATACCAGTGCAATCAGACCCGACTTATTCACACTTTACATGCACGTGAACAGCAGAATAGCAAACTGGCGCCATGCGCCCACACAGAACGCAGAGATATGGCTTCCAAGTAACAGTTCGCTTCCACTGGCTATGGCGACTGTGCGCCTCACACAAACTCACTGTTCACACTCTGGATCACCCTGGATGTCCCACACGCGATACTCAGTATACACACGCAGTACACACACTCTTCCCCTATACTACAGCTATGGCGGCTATGGCCCCCGCTACCCTACTGCTATGGCTACAGTGCGTCACTCTCGCCCACTTCGTCTTCGGGCCTTCTGCAGACCTCCTCGCACAAGCTGCTGAGGCAGCGCTTCCGCATGGCTTCCGCAGGAATGAATGAATGGCTGGACGCAGCCTCTTGATTTATACTTCTTTGCTGCGTTGGTCTGCCCTGTGTCCCTTGGCCCCTGGTGCACACAGTCCCAGATGGTACTTGCGGGACAGGACCGGACTGCCTAACTGGGACTGTTGACTCAGCGAGGTGGCCTTCCACCACTTGACCACTTGCCTCTGTTCAACGCAGGCTCACTCCGAAAGGCCACTTCTAGAACCCTCTAACTTGGCCTTTCGGTACTGTAGCAGCTACGACTTTGCCCCTTCAGGTAAGTAGCAGCTACGACCTTGACCCTTCAGACATCCTACAACTACAATTTCGGAACTGTCTAGACTCCTACCCTACAGGTCTACAGTTCGATTCCCTTCTACCCTGTGACCTACGAAAATCTACCTACCACTGGCGGTCCTACAGGTCGCAGGTTCAAATCTACGGGTTGACACTGGTACTGTACACAGGTAAAACTGGGAACTAGGGATCGAGCCCTGGGATCTACATTCGCTACTGCGAACTGGTGAATACCGTTTCACTTCACACTACTCACGGAAGTTACGAGCGAGGTGGCCCGTAGAAGTGCACGAGGCGGTCTAGTAGAGAAAACTTCAATCGTGAAATGGCTGATTCATGAGATAAAATCACTTGCATTATGATGAGTATAGATATCGAGGTCAAATGGAAAGCAATCGGAGTGGACGCAAGATCGTGCACGACAGCTGGGCATATTGAGTTTTAGCTAGCCGGTAGAAATTGAGCTGCTGAAGTTGAAACGGAACAAAAGCACAATCAGGAAGTACACTAGACCTTTTTTTCAGAACTCGGAGTCATAAGCCTTATAATCTGAAGAGTTTAACAGTGAGCCTAAACTGGTCTAGGTGATGTTCTTTTTTTTTTTTTTTTTAAAGACCTCTAGCTTCAAAGTAAGTTGAAGTGCGAAAGAAAACAAAACGATTCGAGCGAGGCAGCTATTATCCTCTACTACAGTGAGGAGAGTGATACTAATAAGGAAAGCAAGTGACTCGCAAAAGGTAAGTCTAGCCAAGTCTAAGGACTGCATAACCGATTTGCAGTAGCGGCAGCCGGGTGAGATATAGCTTCTAACTAAGTGCTATGAAAGAAAGAAGAGGGGGGGGGGGGGGGGGGGGGGGGGGGGGCGGAAATCAGCAGAAACAACAGGAAAGCTCCTCTTCACTACTCTGGAGGTTACGACCAAGGTAGGTCAGAAGAAGTAAAGCAAAATCGGGGGCGAAAGCTGGACACATTCGGTTTTAGCTAGCCGGTAGATAACGGAGCTGCCAGATTTGGGAAAGCAAAAGCACACGAGGATCCTTCTCTTCAGGACTTCGAGAATCAAGCTCATAACAATCTGAAGAGTTCAATCGCTGAGCCAAATCAGGTCTAGGTGTTTGATAATGGCTTTAGCAAGCCCTCTTTCTTTCTCTTCGGCTTTTTTTTTTTT